TAATTGCATATGTGTGTATGTATATATATATATGTATAAACATATATACATATACAGGGCAGGGAGGGAGACGCAGAGAGAGAGAGAGAGAGAGAGAGAGAGAGAGACACACACACACACTGCGAAATACTTATCCAAGGAAGTCTGAGCATGCCCGGAAACACGACTTCTGCTAACTAGAACAAAAGCCAAGCAAGGCTTCCGGGCTTTGGCTTGAAGTGGCAGTTGGACATTGGCAATTGGCAACTGAGACGAAGCCCGGCTTAGGATTTAGGGTCTGTTCAGGGTTTAGAAGTCATGGTTCAAGAGTAGATGATGATGTCGTTTGGTGGCTGTAGCTACATAGGGTTTGTTGAATCATTGAACCCCCCAACGTCCCACCCTAAACCCTAAACCCTCATCCTCTCCTCTGGCTTGGGCGCAAGGTCTGTCAACGCAGCAGCACGCAGGATCTCCACCGGAGGCTGTCGCCTGGGGTTGGGGATCTTGGAGATCTGTAGGTTTCCTCAACGGGATCTATAGGGTTCCTTAAAAGGATCTGTAGGGTTCCTTAATAGGGATCTATGGGGTTTAGGGTTTAGGGTCAACTTGGAGGGCCAGGGGACTTAGTAAGTCGTTTCTGACTAGGGTTCTAATTGGGGTAACTGCGTTTAGGGTAGGTATAACTCTACCTATAACCTACTTACTAAGTCCCCTGCCCCTCCAAGCAGGGTCTATGGGTCTTGGGCTTCAGCGCTCCAGGTTTGGATCTGGGGTGTATTGTTTTGCGGTTTGTGGTTTAGGACCTGGAGTGCGGCGATTCACAACGGAATGGTGCTGATATTCAGGCGGTGGTAGAAATAGGATCACAAGAGGACGGCCAGGGATTTTAGTAGCAATATTAGAGCTGGTTGTAAAAAGGTGGTCAGCAAAAGTTCACGACTGCAAACAACACAACAGATGATGGCTACAGCTAAACCCCTGAACCCCTGAACCTCTAAACCTCGAAACCCCTTCGCCCCAAAACCCCTCAACCCTAAACCCTAAACCCCAACCCTAAACCCCAAACCCCAAACCCTAAACCCTAAACCTCAAACCATAAACCCTAAAGCCTGGGTCCGGCTCAGGGCTTGGGGCCTGAGGTTCCGGGGATCTCAAAACCTACAGCCATCTACTACAACCTAAGTTAAACCCAAACCCTAAACCCTAAACCGAGTTCTACCGAAAAGTCGCCATCGTAGTTGTTTTTTTGTTCTGGGGTTGCATTACAAAAGATCTTAAGTATGAAGTTGGTCAACACAGAAAGGGAACTCCGATGGAGACTAGAGGTAAGGTCTCTCTAAAGTCTGGAAGGGACCCAACCCACTCTTTCACATCTCCCCTGAAGCCCACCCACCTCGCCGCACAGGACTCCAGGTGTTCGGTGCGGGTCTTCAGCCTCAGTGATTCAGGAGTTTAGTTTAAGGCTTGGGTTTGAGGACTGAAGGTTGCGGCGCTTAGGCTTTTCGGCTGCGGTTCAAGGGCATTTGGCATTTAAGGTTTGGATCTTTTCGTTTGGATCCTCTGGGTCGATGGCTGAAGGCAGCTTTAGTGACGAGGGCTTGATGTATGGGCATGAATTGGTTAAATGGCGGTTGGGGACAACTTTAGCACAGTTGTCTATGGACGACAAGGGCACAGCATCTCAAATTCGTCAGAGCCTTTTTGCTTGCTATTGCTGCTGTCGTGATGACTATCATTATAATTACGAAGATGATTGACACTACTAACAGAGGTTAGTATGACTAGCATGAGAGCTGATCATAATCACTCCTAATTCGCGAGCCATTCTCCGGGCGCAGCTGCCCTTCGAGACGAGCTGAGTTGAATACTGTGCCCTCCTGGGGTCACCTGTCGGACATAGGGTGGCGGCGGATCGCAATTAGTTCGAAGTATCAGATACCTCTTTTTGTGAAGTTGGGCTTGTGGGTAGCGCCCTGACCTGAACCCTTCAAAGTATAATGGCTACAATTAAGTGTATATACTTAGGGGTCCTTATTAAGGGTCCCTCCTTTTCCCCTTTGAGAACCAGCATTAACGTGTAACAGGTGCAGTATCAGTGACATGTACCTTCATCCGGGGTTACGGGGGATCACAATTACCGGAACTAAAGTTTCTGTGACCTCTGGGCCGGCAAACTAAAACTCATCAACCGCCCTCTCGAAAACAAAGGAACTGTATACCAAACCTGCAATGACATAATTAAATGAAACAGCACCCTGCCTTGAGGGCGAAATCATATGAAGGCTTCTGAAATTGGAGGTCCCTTTTCTGGACACCCTTTCACAAAGGACAGCAGTGTTGGCTCGATTGTTGGCGTCCTCCCAAAACCCAGATCCCTAAACCCCAAATCCCTCAACCTCAAAACCTCAAGGCCCTAAGCACTACAGTGTCCAGGGAGCTGGACCAACTCTGCCTCGACTTGTCTTAAGTCAGCGCGGATCTGCTCTACAGGCTGGCTCGTGGCGTGGACAGCCTCAAAGCATCGAGGCGACGAGATATCCATGAGCACAGGTGCTTTGAAGGGAAGTCTAAGGTTTCTTTAAGGGGGTCGTATAAGGGTCCTTTAAACGGAAGTCCAAAGCTTCTCTTTAAGGGTTATGATAAGTTGTAGCCGTGAGTAGCAGCAGCAGCAGTCCAGGGCATTGTTGTTGCAACACTGGACCTACACAATAGCCGAATAGCGATAGCAACACTGCTGGGCAAGGTGTTTGCAACAATGGTCTTACCTGCGCCAGCAGCTCCGTAAAAATACAACCCCGCACACAGTACAAAAAGATGCTCGTAATCCTTGCAATGACTGAAAGACTCTCTTGTGCCAGAGCAGTTTTACAAAGACAAATCACAATAATCAGAGTAGTCCTCTACCGATCCTGTCTCACGGCTTACCCTGAAATCGAAACCCAATCTCTGATAGACTAAGCGACTCATTATACTATGCCTGACTATAGCTACAAATCATGGAAGCCTGAGGAATACTACTCTGACTGTTGAGGCGCCGGTACAGGCACGATGGTGGTCTTCAGCTTCTCAATGGTCTGCCTCCGTCGTCAGTGAGCAGTCGGGCACTGTTCACGAGCATCTAGATCCGGCGCTTAGGCTTTTCGCTTCGCAGTTCAGGGTGCGAGGTTCAGGACTTAGCATTTCCCGTCCGGGCATTGGAAGCATGGATGAGGTCTAAACCCAAAGGCCCTAGACCCATGGACCCCAAAAGCCCTGAGTCTAAACCAGGCTCCCAGCAATTATCAGCACTACAAATGGCGTTTGTTGGGATCTGGAGAATGCTTAGATGGGTAGTGGCTTCCGGAGCGATCGGTTCAAAAGTATAGGGCCATTCATAATTGTTGGGGCTTTACGGTATTTTCAGCTATAATTATCATCGCATAGGGATTAGAAGGTAACTTACCAATCTCCCAATCCCCTATAATCATCATCGCAATGGCGCAGCTAATCATGTCTGCAGCTGTTGAGAAAACATGGCAAAAGCGAAATCGAAACATGCAGCTCATGGCGATCAGAAGCGAAGCGGGTGTCACCAATCTTGACCGTCTGCATATTGTCACGAAAATGTTTCGTTATGTTGAATGAAGCAGTCTGATGACTATTCTTTTGACTGTGCCTGCTGTTGGTCGTGGCCAGGTGTTGCACTCTGACTGATGCACAGCCGTGGCAATCAGTATGGATTCAATGTCGAAGCTTGCTGCCGGTGAACCACTAGTGTCGTGTCCTAACATTCTCAAACGCAGAAGTTCCGTCTGCCACTTGGCAAGCCAATGCCAAACAACAGCGGGTTTGCTTAGCTCGTTGCAGCTAGTTGCTGGACTTATCGACAGTATAAAATTTCGACGTTCTCCGCATCTCGATTCATGGGCTTAGTGTCCGGAGTTTGGGAACGGCCAACCGCCAACCCTACACTCCAGCAACCAGCGGTATATCTCAAGCCCGAGCTACATGTACAAACGAAACCCTCGAACCTCAAGCCTAGACCCTAAACCCTCAACCCTGGACCCAAACTTCGACACTAAACCCACAACGCTCCCCAAACCCTAGATCCTGAGCCCTAAACCCCAAGCCCATCACCCTAAAACCCCAGATCCCCCATGCTGAGCGCTAGAACAATGAAACAAGACACACACCCTCAAACCCTAAAGCCCTCCCACAAAAGGAAAACCCTAAAGCCAACCCCAAAGCCTAGATCTTGAACCCAACACCTTAGATCCCGAACCCTCAATGGAAAGCCGCAAGCAAGAAAGTACTCCTTTCGCTATAGTAGGAACCCTAAAGCGATTTTAGGTACATTCCATAAGTAAGG